TGTGTGCTGTTCAGATATAACTAGTGTTAACTGAGATGTTGGATATTTTATTTTCCATTTCTATTTAATTTAAATTTTAAAAAGCTAAATGTAAATTTAAATGGCACTCTAAACACCTGCCATCGAGCTGATCCTGACTGGGAACCCTTCCTGGCTTTCCAAGGCTGGTGTTAACAGGACGAGGCTGCGCGTCTTTCTCCTTGGGAGCAGCGGGCAGAGGCCTTTTGATTTGCAGTGTCACAGCCCTCTGACTATGGCACCAGCTCCTCCGTGTGGCTGCTCGCTGGCCCTCCGGGGGTGTTTCAGAGACAGTTTAAGCACACAGGAGATTGCCCATCTTTCTCCTGTGGAGCAGCTGACAGATTCAGACTCTTGCGTTGGGGACAGCAGTACAGCTCCTCGCCCCGAGGCCCCCAGAGCTCCCTTCAGCGTGACTAGTCAGCACTGTATTGAACAGCACAGCCTTGGAACTCAAAGGAATTCATGCTGTGTTCCAACTGTGACTTTTGCTGCTTTTGTAATTATCTTCTGTTGATTGAGATACAGCATGGCCCAGCACATTGTTTATTGCCTGAGTTGGCTAGGGTGAGGGGTAGCATTTGTGTTTGTGCAAAGTACATCCTGGGCTTCACATCAGCCGGGAGTGTCTTCTGTCTCCAGGACGCCATAGATTTTGTGGTAAAGTGCAAAATTGTACTGGACTTTGACTCAGACAATCCTTAAAGAGAGATCAGTTTCAGGAATCTGTTATGGAAAATGTGCCTGTACTGCAAGAAGTTCCTCACTCAGAGAATTTAAGGGGCAGAAAGTTTCCTGGAAAACAAAGGCAAGGAAAAAGCTCATTGTTGAGTTGGGTAGTGGAATGTTTGGGTTAACATAGGCCACATTTGCTAAGCAGATGTTGTTTTCCCAAAATAATTTCTGCACACATTTTAAGTATAATATCAATGTTTTTTATTATTCCTCCAGGCGAGATAGGCACCATTAGGGTACATCTGCCAAAATGCAAGATGCATTTCTTCTTCTTGCTGTTCTCGTGGAAGAGCTGACTTGTTCATGGTCAGGATGTGTACCTTGTCTTTACCAGTGGGATCCCCTGGCTTGCATCTGTTAAAAGGTCAGATAGTCTTGTCTTCGTTAAACCTTAAATGAGTAAAAAGAGAGGTAGTCAAGTCATTGACATCCATTTGTCTCAGTGAAGGTTAGACACAAAAATCCATCCCTCCTAACTCAGTTGAATAGGATGAAAACTCAGAACTCCCGTAGTTACCAAGAAAGGTATCTCAGAAAGAGCAGGTCATGAGGCCATGCTCCCGTGATTGGGTCCTGTGAACCTGGAAGCTTTCTCTTTATTAAAAGGGAAGCATGGTTTTCATATGGTGCCCCTTTCCGATTAGAATATATGCTGGCTTTAGTACCATGGTGATCCCCCCCCCATATTTTAATTTTTTTGTCACTAAAAATCCAAGTCTAAATATCCCTCCAATGTAGCAGTTTGTTGCTCTGATTGTAATAAAATAAAAACACTTAAAAGTAAAATGAGTACATTCGTAGTTTGCTTATATTACTGTTTGAATGTCAGGTGGTATTTTTTGAACAGTGTAAATATGCAGAGTGGGTAGTGGGTGGCATTTTACCGCTCTCAGGCTGGTGAATCAAGGTGTAGAAAGAAGGTAGGGGTTGGGGGCTCCCAAGGCTTAGCAGAGTTTCAGGGTTAGAAGTGACTGATATGTTTTGGGGGCTGGATGGGAAGCCTGGTTTAGATGGGTATAATGGAATGGTGTTTCTTACTGCGCTCAGAAAACAGGGAGCAAGGCACAAGGAAAAGGTGAAGAAGCGGTTAATTCTAGGAGCTCCGGGACTAGGCAGATACTGCAGTGGGACACATTTTTTGGGGGGGAGGTTACGGATACATCGGGGAGCAGTGTCTACCAGTGCCTGCTGATCATCTCTGTGCACAAATGTAGGCCCAGACTTGCCAGATCTGTTAGATATGAGCTATTTGCCTTTTTTACATTTGGTAGCTAATTTCTTTTAGTTTTTAAAATGATACATTATGCATCTGGCATTTCTGATTTACCTCAAATAAAAGAAAATAAAAATGCTTAGAGGAAGTACTTCACAGGCTGATACTGAGAACAGTGTCTAGGCTGCATTGTAAAGGACAGAGCAGGGCACTTAATATTCTACTCTCTGTGTGAGAAAATGAGAGAATTTATTTCTGAATGCTTATGTTGAATGTTTGCACCAGAAGTCTATGCAGGAAACTATGTTTACTAATAACTTAACTGGTTTTCTAGTAGTTATGTATTTGCAAAGAGGAAAAGATCTATGGCTTGGGAAGGGGAACACTGGCCTGGGAACAAGAATTCTTAGTGTCTTTCTTAATCCTTTTTTGTACCATGTGAACCTTTTAAAAAAATGTTAGCATGTTCTTCAGTGAACTGAGGTCATTTCTTTTCAGAATTGCATGTGAGAGAGGCAGAGATGTGTCAGAATTATACTCTAACATGATGTTTCTTGTGCTGACCTAAAGAGAATTGGTTAAGTCACTTTTCCTAGTTTGTGACATTTACCATGTCAGGTATATTTAGGGATAGAGGTCGTCTGCGAGAGAACACACCAGCCACAGCTGTGTTGCTGGATAGAGATGGGGAGGAGGGGAGTTGGATTTTGCTCTCTGACATGTAAGGATAGGGTGGCGGCCCCTGTAGAGAGCTCTAGCGGTAAAGAGCTGTGTTGATAACCCAGAGGTACTTGGTTCGTATCCACCTGCTGTTTCATGGGGAGAAAAATGTGATTTACAGCCTTTGAAAATCTGCTGGAGGGTGAGCTGCGAGTCACGTCCTACTTGATGGTACACAGTGGGAGAGAGACAGACACAAAGAATTCATATTCCTGCATACTTTCATCTCATTATTTTAGTTGTATTCAGATTGTCCGTTTTCAAGACTCTTTTTGGATAAGGGAGGGATTGTTACAAAACAAAACTCCCACTTTTTTTATTGTAGACGTTTTCAATTAAAAATAGGAGAGAAGCATACATGACAGGCTTGCACGTGCCTGTTGTGTGCCCGCTAGAGGCTTTACTCATTTGTGTTTGATCTATTCTTTGCCCCCTAGAGTATTTTAGAGAAAATATCAGATCATATCATTTATCATTTCACTCATAAATACTCCAGTATTTACTAAGGATCAAAAAAAGAGGACACTTTCTACCACAGCATCTTACATTACAGATTCGAAACTTTATTACCGGTACTATTTTTTGAGAGATTAAAGGAAATTTCACTTTTTCTGTATATCCATCTCATCCTTCCCTCTAACTGGGATGATTTCCAATCAGCAGGCAGAAAAAATGTTATCTCCCATCTTTAAAACAGAAGTTAAAGGCTTCCCTTATCTTTATATTCCTCTTCCAACTGCCTTTCTCATCCCTGTACTCCTCAAAGAGCCATCTCCATTTGTTTTATCTGCTGAGCCAGTTGCATCCGAACTGCTCCCTCCACCGTTCCACTAAAACTCTTTGTGCTCTTTAAGCCACCAGTGACTTAACATGGTAAATAAAAATAAATCCAGGGGACATTTCATCTTACTGGGCTTCTCAGCAGCATTCAACACAGGTTGATGTCCCTTCTGAAAAAAATTACAATGCTAATTGAGTACTCCTGTATCGAGTTACTTATAAAATTATTTAATTCTTAAATATCTCGGAGATGTGGATATGTATCATCGAGTTGACTACAACTCATTACGACCCTGTAAACAATGGCTCTGAACCTTGCCCTGCTGTCTCTGACACACCTCGCCCCATTGCTAGTCACTGTGTCGGTCATCTCACCGAGGGTCGTCTTCTCCTGCACTGTCCCTCTACTTTTCTAAGAACAGACTTGAACAATATTTCTTAGAGTCAAGCTGTCAGAAGGGAACTAGAAGTCGATAATTGGGGATTTGGAAGTTCCAGACCTTGTGGACTTTTCTTACGTGTGTAAAGTTACTGTTGTGTACTGTTGAGTCAGAACTGATTGATTTGACCCTCCAGTGGGTTTTCAGAGACTGTAAACCATACAGGAGGAGATTGCCGGTCTTTCTCCCATGGAGCAGCTGGGGGATTCGCACTGTAGATACCTTTTTGTTGGCTGTGCGACTCCTTACCACGAGAGCCACATGTGTGAAGTAGGAGATAAAAGGAGTGCAGTGGGTTTCCAGCTTTGTCACCTGGAGGAACGGCAGTGCCCTTCCCTGAGAGTCAGGCATGAGTCTAGAATGTCTCTGGACTTCCTTGCCTAGAAGCACTGCCTCTAGGCCATGTACGTGGGCTGATGGCCTAGTCCACAGGGAGTTAACGCTGCTAGCCCCAAAGCAATGCCTTCCAGCAGCGGTTCAAATCCATCAGCAGCTCCAAGGGAGAAGTTTGGGTAGTCTCCTCTCTGTGACATTTACAACTTGCTGGAGGGTCAGCTGTGAGTCAGTTTTAAGTTTGTATAGGACTTATGGATGAAGATAATCAATAGACAGTCATAAAAATAGAAACCATTCAGAGGAGAGCTGTTGCAGGTTTTGACTTCAGCATTGAGTAAAACCCGTACAGTGTTATTGCTAATGCAGTGTAAATGGATGATAGGATGATACTTTCAAAATTGCCCAGAATAAGAGGTATAGCATTGCAAAGAGGACTGGGGGGAGGGGGAAGATACTTGTGCATCAATGAATGAATGAAAATCTAACTTCTCTGTAAATGTTTATTTTTTTAATAAAATATTTTTATTTTAATAGAGTGTGAATGCTCTATACATGTTGCATGACATACAGAGATGGGATTCATGGTAAAGTTACAAATTTCCTTTAAGATAAGTTCTTTTTAAATGCTGGCTTATACCGTATAGACAAAAACAAAACCAAGACGTATAGAGACTGAATATAAACCAAGGGATTTATGGACTGTGTTCCATAAGATTTGCTGCAATGTGGTTTAATTCCTTTTCGCTTCTCTCTTTTAGGGCCTATTCCTTGGTGGATTCCAGTCAAGTGTCTACATTTCTGATTTCCATTCTTCTGATAGTCTATGGGAGTTTCAGGTAAGATGCTCTCAGGTTGATTTTAACTGGAGGTGGAAGCATTCTTGCTGTCAACATGTTGGCCCCAAAACTTTTTATTCAGTGATAGGAAATGAGACTGTAACAGAAATTGAGTTAGAATGATCTAATTAAGGTAATTCTGATATTTATTTTCATTCCTCTTCTTCGTTTTGCTTCTGAAAATTTGACATGTGAATGCTCAAAATTCTGGTTCTGAAAATAATAGTTCACACAAGAACATTCATTATCCTTGACATTGATTCTACAGAGGGTTTAAATAGCAAGACTGTTTGGAATATAAAAGTAAATTAGCAAAGGCTTCCTGGAAGATGGTCCTGTGAGCAATTTGCTCTCCGCCCTTCCCAGATCACCAAGGGAAACGTCCAGAAGCTGGTATTCAGTGATATAGAAGGGTTGCAGCAACCATGCAAATGCTTAAAAGTGGTGGCAAATTTTAAAGGGCGGGAGGAAACTTTCTGTCCCCCTCAGTGGCTTGTGCCACTAAGTTCCATGAGATGTTGTGGCAACATGATTTAAGTTTTTTTTAAAAAGAACAATCCCTGGTCTTGTACAACCGCAGCCATGAATTTTAATCTCAGTGAGGGGGCCTTAATAGTGTTATTGTGCTCTTGTTCATTCTTGAGCTTGTCCTAAAGTTGCAGCAGTGGCTTTTAAGTGTGTCAGAGAGGATAAGGATAGGACAGGATTCAGGTCTGTTGTTCAGAGGGTCACCATACATCAGCAACCACAAAGTTCCTTTAAGTCAACACATGTCACCCTTCTGGGAAATTTCTTTCTTTCTTCACTGATGTTGACACAGAGTGAACCATATGAATTTGCTAGTGTTCGGCTTTTTTTTGACCTGATAGAATGGCAGTTAAATATGGTTCATACTAATCTTGGACTGTGACCAAGTGTTCCTTGTGCTGACCTTGGGGGTGCAGTTGAAATCCCCCACCCCCCCAGCAGGCAGCCCTGTGGATAGGAAGGGAAATTTTAAAAGCTCAGCACTACACAGATACTTTCTTCTTTTCGTTAGCCTTACTTGATGGGAACTTAAACAGACGAAAACCTGATTTCCATCAAATTCATCCTGAGTCATATCAACCCGTAGGACAGTAGAACTTCCCCATATAGTCTCCAGCTGTCACTGCTCGGGAAATTGGAGTTGAGAACTGGAAAAGGAAGGAAGCATACAATGTCCAAGTGTCCTGGTTAGATCAAGCCCTCAGCAAACAAAAAGTAAACCTTGGTGTCTTGAATTGTAAAATGGCCTCATCAGGTGAATTCCAAGTGCTAACCTCTTAAATTTTTTTGAAAGAGATGATACAGGGTTGGTGTTATAATTTCATTTGTTATAACTCAACTGTGACACTCTCTAAGACCAGGCTTATTCTTTGAGGGAAGGTTTTTGGCTTTGTTTTTTTCCTACGTGGTTCACTGGTGTGTAAAGGAATCTATCATTGTGGTTTTGATTTTAATCCCCCCATGACTAAGGATGTTTGTCTTTTTAACATGCATGTTGAGTATTTTATTTATCATCTCTGGAGAAGTGTCTGTTCAGATTTCTTGCTCTCTTTTTGAGTTGGATTGTTTATAACAATTCTTTCAGTATTTTCTATCCAAGTTCTGAGTCATATGATGGGAAGATATTTTCTCCCAGACTCTGGCTTGCCTTTCGTTGTAGTAATAATACCATTTGGATCACGAACATTTTTAATTTTTATAAATTCTACTTTACTATTCCTTTTTATTCATGCAACATGCTTTTGCTAAAGAACTCTTTGACTAATCCATAGGCGCAAAGACTTTCTCAGGGAAGTTTCATGGTTTGGATTGTACAGTCCAAATATGTGGCTCATTTTTTGTTAATTTGCTTGTGTGGCACGAGGTTTAAATCTAAATGCATCACTGTGACTGCAGATACTCAATTATCCTGGCACCATTTGTTGAAAAGACATTCGTTTTCACCAGTGGGTTGCCTTGGCACCATTGTGAGAAAGCAGTTGGTCATAAATGCAAGGATTTGTCTCCTTTCTGTTCTTTTGGTCTGTATGTCTCTTCTTATACCAACACTTGACTGTCTTAATTACTGTAAGCATTGAAGTGGGATCTGATTACTTTGAGTCTGGTGCACCTCTATATAAAATTTAGGTTTAACTTGTTAATTTCTTAAAACAACAATAACAAAAAATACCCTGTTGGGATTTGGTAGGTGGTGTTATATTAAATCAGCAGATCAGTTTGGGGAGGATTACCATCTTAATTTAAAATCTTCCAATCTCTGGGCATAAATGTTGTGAGTACGATTCATAGTGCCCCAAGAACAACAGATCTGAACCTTGTCCTGTTCTGAACTATCGTCATCATCAGTTACATACTCGAGCTCGCTGCTGCATTTACTGTGTACTGAACCTCCGTGGACGGCCAGAACAACAACAGATAGGTCTTGAATAAAGAGCAGCCCGAGAGTGCTCCTTGGAGGCAACAATGACAAAGCTTCATCTCACATTGGGCATGTTGCTAGGAGAGACTACTCCTTGGAGAGCGACATCGTGGTTGGTCAGCCAAAAAGAAAGGAGGCCCCTCAACCAAATGGACTCACACAGTGAATTCAGCAGTGGGCTCCAGTATGTTCTTGGGGCGTTGTCTTTTGTCTGTAAGTGGACAGACGTCGTTGTTTTTTTTTTTTAAATTGTTATATACTTTACAAACAGATCTGCAAGGCAGCGGGATTTTAGACACTATGTCAGTTCATCGTTTGGCATCCAAGGTCATTGTTGTGATTGTTTTGTGCTATCTAGTTGCCTGTGACTCCTAGCAACCCTGCGTACAGTAGCTCTGAACTCTGAGCCAGTCTCACCGACTCCAACACACCTAATCCCATTGCCCCAGTTACTGTGTCAATTCATCTCATCCAGGATCTTCCTCTCCTGTGCTATCCCTCCATCCTTCCAAGCATGATGTCCTTCTCCAAGGACTTGTCTCTCCTTCCCACGAGACCAAAGTATGTGAGACAGAATGTTAAAATCCTTACCTCCAAGGAGAAACTTAGTTTCACTCTTTCCAAAACAGACATGTTTGTTCTCTTGCATTCCGTGTTCAGTACTCTTCTCCAGCATCACAACTCAAAGGCCTCAGTTCTTCTTCTGTCATCCTTACTCATTGTCCAGCTCTCTCATGCATAGCTAGTAATTGCAAAGACCATGGCCTGGATCAGGTGCACCTTGGTTTCTAGACTGACATCTTGCTACTATTACAAAATCCATTTTTTTAAAAGGAAATACATGTACATAATTACTCTTTAGCACTATGCAGAGGTCCCTGACTGCTGGTGCCATGAGTGTTGATTGTGGAGTCAGGCAAGCTGAAATTGTTAGCAACCTCAGTCTCTTCTCCATCCATCATGGTGCTGCCAATTTGCCCATTGGTGAGAATCTATCCACATTGAAGACTACAGTCCTTGACCTTTGGCAGCAAACATTTCAGATCTTCATTTTCAGCAAGCAAGGTTGTTGATGTTGTCTTCCTTTGATCTGATGCCACACTCCTCCTCCAGCCTCCCGAGTGATCTGTTCCGCATACAGATGAACCCTGCAGCGTTTCCTTGCTCTGTTCTGATGACTGCCTCCTAGTCCAAATATAGGTTTCACATGAACACAGGGATTCCCATTCTTCTCAAGGTTAACCACAATATGTTGTGTTCACCATAGTCAATGAAGCCCAGATCGAGACCCCTCTGTTACTCTTTTCTTTCTGCCAAGATCCATCTAACATGATGATCTCTCTTTTGCCATGACCTTTTTTAAACCTAGCTTGTATTTTTGTTGTTCTCTGTTGATGTACTGTTCCAGTAATTTTTGGATAATCTTCAGCAGGATTTTGCTTGTGTGTGGTATTAATGATATAGTTCGAGAATTTCCACACTCTTGTCAGATCACCCTTTTTTTGGAGATAGGAATAAAAACATGGATTTCTTCCAGTCAGTTGGCCATGAAGTTAGTTGTCCTCCACATTTCTGGGGTTACAGGACTTTTTCTGTTACTGGAGTAAACTGTTCATCTTAGGAAAACAAAGCTTTCACTCTTTAAGATAAGTGCTTCTGCTGGCCTAGGCCATATTCAGGCTGACTCCCACGTAATTGTTACAGAAAATGTCCATTTGCCTGCATCTTCTGGTTTGTCCCTGAAGTGAGCAGAAGTGCTTCTTTTTATACAGTGTTATGTGGAAGAATGGCTGAACTCCAAGCCTATTCTTAAAGTGATTTTTAAATTCAAGTGGAATAGACTCAAGATCATATTTTGGTTCTTGTGGACTTGTTTTTCATTTTCTTCAGCCTCAGCTTGAACTTGCACATGAGCATTGATGGTCTTCTGCAGTCAGCACCTGGCCTGGTTTTGACTGCTGATACTCAGCTTCTCAAGTCTGTCTGATTCCAATGCGTTTTATCAAGTGAGGTCCATGTGCAAAGTTGCTGTGTGTAGGACTTTTTTTTAAAAAAAAATCATTCAGGGTACAAAATTTGATCATTCAAGGTTCTGGCTTCATTTCTGTCACCAAGTCCATCATTCTTTCTGACTGCTATTCCAACTTTTGTATTTTAGTCACCAGTTATTATTAACGCGTCTTGATTGCATGTTTGGTTACCAATTTTGGACTGCAAAGTTCGGTAAAAAATTTTCATTTCCTCCCCTGTGGCTTTACCTGTTGGTGCACCTGTTTGAATAAATAGCTCCATCAGCAGGTCTTCCTTGTATGCATGGCTAGTATCCTGTCGCTTACAACATTGTACTTCAGCATAGACCTTGGAATTGTCTTTAAAATTATTAATGCAATGCCATTCTTCCTGTTTTTCATTCCCGGCATAGTATACCATGTGCTTGTCTAATTCAGAGGCGCCAATGCCAGTTCATCTCGGCCTAGAATAAATATCAATGTTCATGCAAGAGCTGTGGATATCCTTTAATAGTTGGAACAAGGAATGCACAGAGCATGAAATG